GATAGAATTCAAATACATATCTTGATTATCCACTCCAACCTGCCGATAAAACTCTTAGCCACCAGTACCATCATAAATTGTAGGATCATCAACAACATCACCATACATAAAATTATAATGACATATACCACAACAAATTTCACAAGAACCATCTGGACAAGATCAAAATTTGGAGGAAGGTTAAAATTTAGGAATCTGTCACCTGAAAAATCTGAAGCACTTGTTTCTTGGACTTCCGTTCGTAGAACATATACTTCCTCAAATACTGATTGCAGCAACATGTTTTAGTAAAATGAGAATATTGTTTTGCACAAATAATGGATTGGAAATCACTTGAAGATTTGGAAACTAGACTGGAAGTGCTTTCCAATGATATATGGCTTGATGGTCAAGCAATTTTTAATGAACTCAAAACCTTGCCCTCAACACATATGATATGCTGGTTTCACGCAACACCAACGCTCTGTGGCGTTTTGCCAATATTAGTTCACACAAAACTCTGTTTGATGCACAGTTTGTTGCATTGAAATTTAGACTCCTTGAGCATTCCGATGATGTATAACTCTCAAAATAAAAGTAAAGGAAACTGAACTAGATTTGACAACCAACAGAGATGATGTGCCAGTCCGAAGAACGTCTCAAGCTCCGATACCAATTGATGTAGGGTGTAGCGGATAGAAACGAAATAAAATAACAGATATGATTGATAGGTAGGGTTCACCATCTCCGAGTGCAAGGAGAGGCCTGAAAACCCTATAAACGTTTATTCTAGTGCCAGCCTACAACGTAGACACTAGAAAGAACAAAACAACAGACTCTTACAAAGAGAAAGGCACAAATATGAGATAGAAATCTCTCTGAATATTTCATTCACCAACAAAAACGTTCAACTCCCTCGTCTTACAAAAAGAGATGGTTTTTATCACCATTTTGTAACTTACATTCAGAAATTGAAAGACAATATGATTAAATTGACATAAAACTGAATTGAAATCACATAAAACTAAAAATTACATAACTAAAGTAATGATATCAGCCATAAAACATCCTGGAAGTAAACTGATGAGCCAATATGTACTAAACCACCCTCTTTATTCCAGCAAATAAATTTATCTTCCAATAATTTATTGTGCTCCATGCCAAATGAATCTTTTATTTCTCATCCTGTATCAGTAATCTAGTGAAGGTTACAATACAAAACGATTGCAAAGGGATGATATCTTTTGCTTGCCCAAGAAATTTTTTTGATAAATTTTGGTTCTTACTGGTTAGGAAATATAGATAAATAGCAATTTACTGGCTAATTAGGAGCTGATTGAAAAGGAATTTTATCTGTGTTTAGTCCTAAATTGAAAGTGACATACCAGGAGTGGGATGCGGAATGTTGGTCCCTTTGAAAAACTAGAACTTAGCATTTGGATTCTGCTATTTCAGGATTGACAAATTTTCGATTTTGGTTGCATTACTACGCGAAAACATTCCCGCGTTAATAGAGTTTTGAAATGTTTGATGAAACCATTAAGTTATTCCTTACAATAGTTTTGAGATGATTCTGGGATGTGTTAGTTTGAAGGTTGGTGTCTCAATTTTCTTGTTATTGTATGTCATCTATATGCTTTCTTTTCCTCGTTATCGGAGGTGAATTATCCGGCATAACTGTATCAGCATAATGCCATTGAAAAAAGACTATTGTAAAAGAACACAAACAGTGTTGCAAATAGGAAAAGATTAATTTAGCCATGTCCGTCATGGTGGCCGTGGGGAGGTACAGTGCGTGATCCATGGCATCTGTTTTAAGTTCTTGAGATGTTTAGTCGTCTTATATTTCAGGCTCTTCCTACCACGGTTGTTGGACTCGTCTGATGCAAATGACCTGTCCTGCCTGGATGGTTTTCATGTAGGACTTTCATAGCAATCTGCGTCTGCGTTTTTCATCTCATGTTTGGTTAGTGTGGATTGATTACTTTATTCTGGTTGGTTGTAGTTTGCATGATACGAAATTCAATGGATTATGGTGTCCTTCCTATCGTATTGCTAGCTTTTCAGTTTCTACTCTCCATAGTAGTTACATGCTATAATTCTTTTTTAAGTATAGTTTACTACTTTCTGTGGAGTGAATTGGAATCTGGTTACTATGGTTGTGTGAATTTGCCGGTTTTATGTTGGGATTCAGTATATCTTGCTGCTGGTTTCCCTTCCGAATTAGGCTTCTATATAAGCTTTATGATAACTACTTTGAAGGTTGTTGGATTGTCATTTCCAAGCTGCTCGAGCGATTTAATTGATTCAGATGATTCAAAATGGGCTGTTAAGCCTTGACCATGTTGATTTATGACCGTGACGTTAATCTGTGATTGTGATAAGCTGACGATATTAATGTTTGATTTCACCACTTGTATTTGGAGTGTTTCAGATTTCTCGTTTTGTTGCTGTTTTTCTGAGGTAGAAGTCAGCTTCGTCCGTGACCTTTAGCAAATTACAAGAGCACAACGAAGGTCCTAAGAGACGCTCTGTGAGAAACAACGCAAATATTTGAATAATTTATTCTCGTTGACCACGCCCTGTAGGAATCATCAAATCAATAACAGTAAGTCATGTTTGAAGAGGCTCGTATACGGAACGTCTTGAAATAATGCCAGGAGATAGAGACTCAATCGAAATTCAGAAGATGCAAAGAAATTCTATTAGATCGTGTATAATACTTTGTACTACTTTTTATTTTTCTAATTGACATAGACCCAAGTCCTATATTTAAAGATAGCTCAGCTGATAGAGCAGAGGACTGAAAATCCTCATGTCACCAATTCAAATCTAGTTCTTGGCACATGAGTAATTTGTATGAGTATATATTCTTAAAATTAATTGATATGGGTCGACATACATATTCATTAATAGTATGAGTTATGATACATATTTATCCATCTAAATGTCGGAGATATATCCTTTTATACATCATATGTATATAAAGTATACAAAAGAATTCCATTTTGTTTCCTCTTGTTTTTTTATTTATCCATACTGTGTCTCCTCTTGTTCAGATAATACTATGTTATTTCCGATGCTTGTATTATTTTTATTTACGTTGTTTGTTGGAGTCATAGGAATTCCTTTCTTCAATCATGAAGGAATAGATTTGGATATATTATCCAAATTGTTATGTTCATCCATAAATCTTTTACATCAAAAGAAAAAGAATCTGGTCGATTGGTATGAATTTATCACAAATACAATTTTTTTCAGTTAGTATAGCTTCTTTCGGAATCCTATATCATTTTTTTATATAAGCCTTCTTTACAAAATTTGAATTTATTTATATATTATAGCGGAATGTTCTCCCTATATGGAGTAACTTGAAATCTTTGTTATCATCCACAATAAGCTTTGCACCAATACAATCTGAGAACAGATTAGATATTCTAGAGTCAAGAAGCCACAAAGCAACTAAATTTTGAGAAGGATTTATATATTATTCGTGCGATAGTTTGATTAATTTAATCTAAACTGTTATAAGCAAGAGAGACATACTTCAAACCTCTAACTAACTTGATTACATCCCGTTTTTAATGTCGAAAATTTCCACAAGACATAACTATTTAATAATTATTAACCTTTTGAGTCAAACTAGCCCAAGTTACTTGTATCTGCTTTGGTTCCAGTACCTTCAAGCATGGGGCTTCTCCTTTGATGCATTCTTGGGAAGGCACAATTTATAAGATTAAATATTAAATCATTTTCAAGTCACAATTCAGAAGACATAATTAGGAACAATTCAGAAGATTAAATTTAAAATGTCAGGCCTTTCAAGATTAAATATTAACTAACTTTTTTTTATAAACATATCATACATTATTGGTTCTCAATTGTAAAGTGTAATTCAAGTAACAAAAATATGAAAATTATTCACAATTTGGCAAATGGATTCTCCTCCAAGGATTGGATTTCGAGCTTGGAACTTCCAAACGGTTTGCCATTTCTCATCTGCAAGAGCTACAACAATGTAATTTAACTTGAGGGTTATGTAAATCAGCCGTTAGGCCTTTCACAGTAGACTGAAAAACTGAGTGTGATACTAATAATATATAAATCAAACTTCTACAGTAGGCCGGAAAATTTGAATGCTATGAAAGTGATTCTTAGTTTTGAGTTCAATATATTAAACTCGTGAGCGTGATAGAGAAAATCAAAAAATGAAAGGGTTCCACATCTAACATATAAAACTAATCCGTATCAAATTCACACCACTGTGATAGTAGAGTAAACCGAAAACTCACGTTGCCTGATTCCAACACATATGTATCACACTCACCTACGGTGGATATGCATCCCACCTAATCCATATCTGATCAAAGGGCCGATATGCATGGACATGCAGCATAATTACAAAGTTGACCAACTAAACCACTTCGTGATATATTGGTCAAGGTTCAACTTATATGCTTGACTTGGAAGAATCTAATTGTCTGATCCAACTAATGCTAAATATTATCTGTGGGACAAAAGCGCCCACTGGCAGAGTTTTCAATCCGCAGTTTCTCCTTGCCTGTTTGGACGCAATGCATTCAGAATCACACTGCCCCTAGTTTTGCTTAAACGAAGAATTGTGATGCAAAAACAACCGATCAGAGTAGCTTTCCGCAAAAATACGCGTATAATAATGCCCACTTGACAGAAAGAAACAATATGAACAGGAGAGAAATGGAGAGATGCACATGCTTGGAATTACAAGGGGTGATAACTTAATCCGGGAAAGTTTTACTTGCAAAAATGAAAGACACAAAACATGGTTTACTTTACGCGAAAGATCTCGATTGACTTGGTTGGATATTATGTATAGAACAACTATGCTGAATCACATGGGGTTTTTGTCAGTTGAACTTGGACTGGTTTTCCACCCTTTTCGAGGCATCCGACGAATTCGCCTCTAGATTAGTCTGTAACTACTACACAATCTAATCTAACTACCCTTTATTTAATATTGGTAATCACAGTGTTTTCTGGCCTATATATACTCCATTGTATTACCTATCTTCCACATCAGGATCAGAAAAAGATAAACGAGATGGAAATACCTGTGATAGACTTTAATGAGCTCAACGGGGAAGCAAGGAGCAAAACGATGGCTCTTCTGCACCAAGCTTGTGAGAAATGGGGCTTCTTCCAAGTAAAAACCATGCTTTCCTTTTCCATTTTCGTTTCCGAAATTTAAATGCATATCTGTTATCACGTCGTTTTGAGTCTTGACGAATGTATTGCTTGATATTTGCAGGTTGAGAACCACGGAATTGATAAGAAGTTGATGGATAAAGTGAAGCAATTGATAAATGAATACTATGAGGAAAATTTGAGAGAGAGCTTTTATAAGTCAGAGATAGCTAAAAGCTTAGATCAAGAAGTTACCTCGGAAGTAGACTGGGAAAGCTCATTTTTCATTTGGCATCGCCCCACATCAAATATTGAAGGGATTCCGAACTTCTCAGAGGATCATTGGTAAGTCAGTTTTCAATAGGATGTTAGAAACCATAACTTACGAACAGCGAAATGACACTTTGAAATCATATGCATATATGTATTCTGACTGGTATGCATGAAATGCAGCAAAACAATGAATGAGTACATCGCTCAGCTGATTAAGATGGCAGAGAAACTTTCTGAGCTCATGTGTGAGAATCTCGGTTTGGAGAAGGGTCATATAAAGGATGCATTCTCTGGTGGCAAGGGTCCTTCTGTGGGAACAAAAGTTGCAAAATACCCTCAATGTCCTCAGCCAGAGCTTGTGAGAGGACTTCGGGAGCACACTGATGCTGGTGGGATCATACTCCTGCTCCAAGATGACCAAGTTCCAGGCCTCGAATTCTTGAAAGATGGAGAATGGTTTGCAATTCCACCATCCAAGAACAACACCATGTTTGTGAACATAGGTGACCAAGTGGAAGTGTTGAGTAATGGAAGGTACAAAAGTGTTTTGCACCGTGTGCTGGCAGACAAGAATGGAAGCCGACTATCCATTGCTACCTTCTACAATCCTGCCGGTGATGCCATCATCTCTCCCGCTCCCAAGCTCCTATACCCCAATCACCTCCGTTTTCAAGACTACCTGAAGCATTATGCCACCACAAAGTTCTCAGACAAGGGCCTCAGATTCGAAACAATGAAGCAAATGGCCAATAACCATAATGGGTTCCTTTCCTAAAAGTGCCAATCACATAAATTTTCTGTTTCTCAGTCATGAGTGTCTTGCTTCTCGCTTTCTTTTTCCGTTTCTGTGGTGTTGTTATGTCATCCACATGAAAGAGCAATCAAGAAATTTATAGCAAGAAATAAAAGGAAAGATTTGGCAACGAATGCAACTATTTGTTTCTTCTTCGAATGGGGTCCTTTACACAAATACTGGTATCACTTATGCTTTTAAGAGGAGGCAATATTCGATTTCATCATCTAAAAAGTTCCAAACCAGCCAGTTTACCTAATAGAGATCTGGCTAAAAAGGCTTTGTTTTGCTCAGCTACTTTAGTCAATCTAAGCTTGTGAGGCTTCAAGAGCGGAGAACATTTGTTGACTAAGCATAACAAAAAGTTCCCAAATTTCAGAGAATTGGAAAAAATTCCGGCCAATTGCTGAGCCTGGTAAACAATATGGTCATCTGAACTCTCTGTTGAATGAACATTATAATTCAACATGCTTTGGAGCAGGGTAAACAATGATTATGTTCATACCATTGTAGTATAGATGCTCATGTAAGGTCGTTCTCCTCAAAAATTATTTTAATGATTTATGTAGAAACAATTCCTAATTAACTACTTAGAATTAAAAATTGAGAAAATAGATTTTGAATTTGGGTAATATTAAAAACGAATTTTAATTAAAAATAAATATGATAAAAGAAAAGAGTTTTAAATACCAATTTAGAAAAGCATTAGATTTCACCATCGCCTAACAATCCTATGAATTTTTACCAATTACTTATGATCTACACATGCCACTTTGAAGGTTAGGTTTTCTAATTTTATTCTACTTGGAACCTCTAACATAGAACGTATATCTAACATGCAATCCGTACGAACATTTGGATCAAATATGAACATGAGAGACTCATTAAGTTTTATGAAAACCCTTTGAAAAACCATGCAACCCTTAAGATGTGGTGTTTATCTTAAGTGAAATTACAATTATTAATCACAAGAAACCATTGTCAATTTCAAGGAATCTTCCGACCAAAATTGCATCAAATTACTTTTCTAACAATCCTAATGGTGGTCAAGCATTAAGACAATTAGATAGTTTAAAACAGTGATCAATAATTCAAAGCATGCATGCAATCAGTCATAAGCAATTAAATAAAAATTACATATTCATGCTAAGGCTCAAGACTTCACCGTAGCAAAACGGATTAGTTACACATTAATAATTAAAATCATAAAAAATATTATTATAAAGAAAATGATTGAAAACACCTTAAAGTAAAGGATCGAAATTCTCCAAGAATCCTAACCGAGTTCCTATCTCCAAGGTTGAATAATAGAGCGTACGTAAAACTGAGAACGGCAAAGCAATATATCCTGCTATGTCACATCTCGGCCCGGGGCGCACCACTTCCCGGGCCCACTCCACCACCGTAGCACGATATTGTCCGCTTTGGGCCCCGACCACGCCCTCACGGTTTTGTTTCTGGGAACTCACACGAGAACTTCCCAATGGGTCATCCATCCTGGGAATGCTCCCACGCGCTACTCGCTTAACTTCGAAGTTCCCAGGGAACCCGAAGCCAGTGAGCTCCCAAAAGGCCTCGTGCTAGGTAGGGATGTGAATATACATTTAAGGATCACTCCCCTGGACGATGTGGGATGTCACAATCCACTCCCCTTAGGGGCCCGACGTCCTCGTCGGCACACACGCGACCAAGGTTAGGCTCTGATACCATACTGTCACATCCCGGCCCGGGGCGCACCACTTCCCGGGCCCACTCCACCACCATAGCACGATATTGTCCGCTTTGGGCCCCGACCACGCCCTCACGGTTTTGTTTCTGGGAACTCACACGAGAACTTCCTGATGGGTCACCCATCCTGGGAATGCTCCCACGCGCTACTCGCTTAACTTCGAAGTTCCCAGGGAACCCGAAGCCAGTGAGCTCCCAAAAGGCCTTGTGCTAGGTAGGGATGTGAATATACATTTAAGGATCACTCCCCTGGGCGATGTGGGATGTCACACTGCTATGCCATCGCACAAACCCTAAAATTGTAGTTTTTTTTGTTCTAATTAGAAAATTAAATAATAATAAAATATCTTAGAAAATAAAGTCATAATTAAGCTAGGAGAATCGGCCAAATAACTGTCCAGCCACGTTTTAGCCTCAAATATCCTCCAAATCCGGCCCATGATAGCTTGTTTTGAAGATCAGGACGTTCTGAACACATCTCTAGAAGGCCAAGAACCCATCAGATGTCATCTTGGGCTCCAAAAATGCAATTCAAGCCCAAAACGTCATTTTTTCAGCATCGCGCATTACTCCTTTATTTTATTGCCAGAAAATAACCGTTTTGTGGAAAAATCTGATATTTTGACATGATCAAGCGAAGTGACTCACGAACATTCTCGAACTGGAATTTCTCCAAAATTCGTCCGTTTGACCATGTTTTGCTCCAGGAGAATTCGAAAGTCCTATATTGAAAGTACAATTCAAAGTATCAAAATTCTTCTAAAATATTATCCAAAATATATTAAAAATAGGGTTAAATATATAATATAAAATTCACTCATCAATGATCCTCGCAATCACATCACATATGGGATTATTGATGCCATCCCGTCAAAGAATCAGTTGAAATAAGAGTGCATATTCACAGGCCCTTTGATGAAGCTTGCGGTACTCCACCATTGCAGTCACTAATACTCGAGAAGCTGGTTCCTCAAGCACCAACAACTTGGGAAGGATGACCGAGCACAAAACCTGGCTTGGCCAAGTAAGCTCTTCTTTGCTTCTGCTTGTTAGATGAGAAAGTACAACTGAAGCAATCTCATCGTCAGCTAACCAAGGTTCAATCAATCCCGAAATCGTCAAAGAATCTCCTCCTTTGTCGAAGCAAAGTTCACGAATTTCATTCGCTAAGCCTACGGCTTTAGAAGTTGATTGAAAATCTGCAACCTGAGCTTTCAAATTAACTGCCGCTTTTTTAATTTCAGGTTCAAGATGAACGCTAACTGGGTCATCAATATTCATTTCCTCTGGAACATCATTCATAAACATGCCTTCATCCTCTCCAACTTGACCCGACGAGCCATCATAGTTTTCACAATTACCACTCATTGTCCTCGAATGCAATTCCTCAGGCGACATAGGAAGCCATGGTAGGACCAGATCACTGGAAGCCACGGAGTCCTTAAGCCAACTAGGCAAGGACTCAAACGCATCCTCCACGGACTCCAAACTCAAGCAATTAATCCAATCATAACTTGACTCAGACATTCCATCGAGCAGATTGCGTGCAGCCCACTGAACCCATAAATCAAGCTCCTGACTTCCACTCAAAACAGTCCTCGCCAACCTCGCCAAGTCCCGACCGCAAAACCCTTGACGTTCAAAATCCAAAAACGACAGAATTCGCGACTGAACCATGTTCGGAAGAGTCTTTATAAAAACTCCAAATCAGTCGCCAAAGCCCATTAAAATTATCATTAAAAAAAAAAAGAAAAAGTAACAATTGGTTTTCGACCCTTCACCTTTCTGTGATCGAAGGCTAACCCGAAGTCGAAGAAAGAGAATCTCTGGCAACGATCGAGTCCAGAGGTTTCATCAGCAACGAGAGGAAGGAGCCGGTGGTAATTGGGGTAGCCGATGACTATAAGGCGCTGAAAGATTGGTTTAGCCACGCAGAAGCTTCGGGTTCGGGGGTCGGGGAAGTCAAGAAGATGTCGAAGAGTGGGACCCACTGCTCCATTGTCGCCCGCTCCGGCTCTGCAACACTCTGTTGGGCTGGGGGTTTCAGGAATCAGAGGGGTTTTGAAAGGTTTAATAAGACGCGGGAAAGTTAAAATGTTCGTTTTGATTAACAAGTGATTGGATTATGGGGTTTTAATTTGTACTTTTTCCCAAACACGGTCTAAATTGAACAACACTTTAGGGCAGGACAAATTTGGATACGGACAGCCGAACACGTTCTGTGTAACACAGTTCTATAAACATATGAGACTTTTTTTGTATTTTGATCTCCACTTGAATTCATTTCAGTTCAATTTATGTGAAAGTTGCTCTAGTATTGAGTTTTTCTCTTTGGGTGCACTTGAAAGTTGCGATTTCTTGTCCAATCAGTTGTCATTAACGAATTTATGCTAGCACTTGTCTTAGTCAACATGTTCATATTCTATCATACCTTATCCTCTCACCTCATACCCAAACTCTAGCTTTCTCGTTGCAGTCGCCGTCTCTTGCTCTGGCTTAGGATCGGCAGCAACCCCCTCCCTCCTTTTTATCTTCCCCTCCTCTCCTCCAATTCCACCCTGCACCCATACTGTTTTGTTACCTCTCCGTACCCGACATCCATATGGGTTTGTTTTCCAGTGCAAGAGGATAAACTAATTATCTTCCAATGCAAGAGGGTAAACGAATTCCTCGACACCCATTTGGGTCTGTTCTCCAGTGCGAGAGGTTAAACGGATTCCCCGGCACCCATCTGGGTTTGTTCTCCAGTGCGAGATGATAGACTAATTGCTCTCTAATGCAAGAAGGTAAACTAATTCCCTGACACCCATCTAGGTTTGCTCTCCAATGCAAGAGAATAAATTAATTGGTTTCCAGTGCGAAAAGGCCACACAACTCAAAAGATCGAATACCAGCTAAGCAGCAAATGATCAGGGGGGTAGCTGCCACTTCACACTCAATAGTTCGCTCATTCGACAATTTATCTTCAGCAGCTCCGTCCTTGATTGCTCCATCTACTGCAGCTAAGAAATCAAACTCAAGCAGTTTCCTTATTCTTGGCAAACAACCCAGACGTGGCAACCCAAACCGTGACCCATGCCACGCCACGCCACTTCCTCAGCCCATACTGAGCCAGCCCTTAGCTTCAATCAAGCCGTGCAGCACAAGTTGTGGCCTCTGCCACACCACCTCATCGGCCCATGCCAAGCCGACTCTTGGCCCCTGCCAGTCGACGTACTGCACCACGCCGACGATTGCCCTGTGGCAGCACTACCCAAGAAGAAGGCAAAGGAAATTAAGTTTTTCTTACATTGGTGCGGCGTAGAGAAGACAAAGAAATCAACGGAATACGGTTCTTTGCACTAGCAAGTAAAGAAAGTGCTAGGGGAGGGAAAACAAATATCCTCTTGCTTTCTCTCTTTCTTGTAAGGATAAATAATTTCCTTCCGGAGTTAATTTGATCCCCTACTTAAGGTAGGCTTAAATAGGTTTTGGAGGCGATTTATTTCCTTTCCTAGAAGAATCTAATTCCAAGTCCAAGTGGGAATCTGCATCAAAGTTGGAGATTTCTACACCTGTTGCCCTTTCCTGCAAGCAGCCCAGCAGATGTGGGGGCATTTGTGAAGCAAAAAATAATCAAGAAAATTATGGAGGTGACACGTGTACTTTTAGTTGAAAAGGACAAAATTACCCTCGAGGCACACCGGGATTCCCACGCACATGCAATGGACAATAACGGCTCAATCAAGGAAGAGTTAAAGTAATCAAAATGGTATTTATTCAAACTCTCTCATCATTATTCATCAAATTCTCACTCAAAAGGTAACTCCCAATTTTCCTATTCAATTCGGAATTAATTGCCAAGTTAATTGCAAGAAATTATTTCACATAATAACTTACAATTACACTCACAATTTGACCATATGTGGCCAGCCCATATTCTCCAAATAGAGCCGGTCACTCCCTTATAAATAGCCATGTTTTTCCACTAAAATGTTAGGCCTATTCTCTCCCAAAAATTCCTAAACATTTTCTCTCTCAAATTCTAACTTTAGCATAGGAAATTCTTCGGCCAAAGCCCCCTCCATTCATCGTGAGCGCATGAAGCTTTTGGCCTTAATCTTAGGTGTTATTATTTTGCATATGCATTTTCGTCAAAAGAGAAGACAGCGGAAATTTACATCCACACAATGTACATTATTTATCACGCTTTCGGCTATACACTTTGGCTATTAGACGAAAGGAAAATAAGTCATTTCTAATGATATTTCATGATATTACCATTGATTTTTTTTTTTATAATAATAATCATTATTTTGAGAGATTAGTAACGGTTTATCTAGTCATTCCAGTTTGTTTTAGTTAAGTTGGTGGGATCTAAGGTGATAAGGACCATAAGGTGAAAATCTAGAGAGGCTTTAGATAAGGAGTGAAATTATCTTTTTGGACAAATGCACGCGTACACGTAAAAAAGAATGAGTGATATACGTTACAAATGTTAAATGAGCATGGTTATATATTTATGAAGTATTATATGGAGACAGGATATATATCCTATCTTCTGGTTGGTGGTGAGGTGGAGTAATTGGGTTAGAGATTGACTAGCACATGGTAATCTCCAAATTATCAATCACATGATGATGGGATAAAATGCCATCATGGTTTGATAGACTTCTTTGACTTGTGAGATACAGATCATTAGTTTGAACATTATCACAAAGTTTTCTAACGACTTTGGGACACATGGTGCATTTAAAGAGTGAAGGTTTATGACATTAGGGATTATTTTTTGGTGACAGTGACTATATTAGGACCGTATCAGCTATTTTTGTGACTACAGCAAAAGGGAGTTATGGCTTGGCCATCAGCGAAAGTAGCATTATAAATCAAAGAGGTTTTGCAACATGAACATTTCTTTCAACTCAAACAAACAAACAACTCAAATGCTTTATGCGAAAATCTTACTCTATGCGAAATTTTCTCACAATTCTGAGACAAATACTAATTATCCTAACTTTTCCCCATCACGACATATTCAGTTCGTCGGAACATCACTGGATTGGCAACCGGTTACATATTTAGTTCATTGGAAGTCATTAGAGTTGTATGACCAATTGTTTTGAGAATACCTTTTGTTCGTTGAAACATCACTACTTCTAGACTAGTTTGGTCGGTTATCTATCCAATTCTCAGCTAGTGAAGAATCTTCGATTCCTTCGCCGAAAGAGATCACTTCATTAGCTTTCTAGCAAAATAAAGTGTCTACAATTGGTTACTCTCATTGGTTGCTTTCATTTGCATTTTGCATTTCGGCAAAAACTCTCATCTTTTTGAGTGCCTGTGCTTTTATAGCTTGATACTGATTTGGCACACTTATATTCTCACGAATATAGTTGAGGTAGCCGAACTTGGCTTGGGAGATCCTGCAGTAAATTAGGCAACCTTATCTTTAGGTTCTAGATTCCTAGGTCAAGTGGTGTTCCTTCCTTTCCTGTAGTCGCTTGAGTGCAGAAGTCAGCAACACATTCGACACAACCACACATATTCTACTCGCTCGACCGAGCATGCTCACATTCACAATGTTTTGTGCAATTTTTTAGACTTAGCCTAATAAAAACGACCTATATGACATTAATATATGGATATTTCATATTTGATAATACAATAATTATTTAGTTATTTTCATATAAAATTAAAGAAGTTTTAACGAAATGCCTATTGTACTGTTTATTTTAACGAATTCAAAATTTTCAAGCTCTTTTTATTAGTTTTCTTAAAATTAAATTGGTGACAAAAACGTGAAGCGACGGTAGATCAGTTTCATATTGAGAGGACCTATGCATTGTTCCTCAAAATAGACCTTGGACCAATCAAATCGATGCAACGTGGAGCCTTGAGCTCGAGTCACGTGGGCAAGCATGTTGTCATTACCGCGCCCGGGAGTTCTGTCTGTTGAGTGCCGGTGGGGCGTGTTTGTAATCGCCTCAAATGCGCGTTGGCTTCGTTGTTTGGCGAGAAACGCGGTTTCCACTTTTTCTTGTAATTTCAACGACATGTAGTAAAGTTGCAAACTTTAGAAATTTTGAGATGTAGGATCCGTGTCAAAGGGGGGAATTGTAACAAATTCCATGATAGGTCGTTTAATCAAATTAATACTTCATTATCAATTCAAGTAAACTTTAAGTTAAATTTACCAAAAACTAGTAATCTAAGTGTTACTCTTTTTGTTTCTTGATTACTTGCATAGGAAACGAAGGAATTATCAATCTAAAATTTGGGTAGCGAAATAATCAACATTGGAGATTGAGAAAGTATATTATAGGTTAAGATAACATGAATCATCTCATCATTGTAGGAAGATTGTGTGTTAGAGTGTGTCTGCTTAGGATTGATATATTTTCTTTAAGATGGCGTGAACTAGAATATTGAACATTCTTAGTTGTTTTGAACAATATCTCACCTAAAGCAAAGACTAATAATATCTCAAACATATCATACACTATAATACATTTTAATTTTTTCATGCGACTTGTAAGTCGATCACTTTGACATCCCTTCTGAGTATTAGTGATTTTGAACATTACCCTACTTACAATTCCTCCTCCCAATGCACACAAAAAATAAGACTCCCAACCCAAAACCATATAAAACCCAATACCACCAAGACAATTCACACCAAAAACAGAGCAAGAAGTAAAGAAACCAACACAAAACCCTTCCCCCACCGACTATCCCATCCCACTATCCAATCCAATCCAATCCGCCCTCCCACACTCGCTCTCCCCCCTCTTCCTCCAAATTAGTCCAGTCCCACACCATGGGAGTGAGCAACAGGATAACTGCAGCCCTCAACTTCATAGCCCTCCTCTGCGCCATCCTAATAATGTCCGCCGGCATCTGGCTGGCCTCCAAGCCGGACAACGAGTGCATCCGCTCGTTCCGGTGGCCGGTCTTCATCCTCGGCGTACTCATGCTGTTCGTCTCCCTTGCCGGCTTCATTGGCGCCTATTTTAACAAACAGGGCCTTCTGGCTCTCTACCTCTTCTGCATGGCTGCTCTCATAATCCTGCTCCTTGTCCTGCTCATCTTCGCCTTCACCGTCACGAGGCCCGACGGCAGCTACGCCGTGCCCGGCCGGGGCTACACGGGAGTACCGGCTTGACGGGTTTTCGAAGTGGCTGAGGGACTATGTGAGGGATTCTTCGAATTGGCAGAAGATAAGGAATTGTTTGGCTGACTCTGATACTTGTCCTAAGCTTACACAGCAGTACATGTCGGCTGATCAGTTCTTCTTTGCTCACATCTCTCCTCTCCAGGCAAGTTTCTCTCTCCCAATTTTTAAAGAGATTCTTTTACTTTTTTCTCAATTTTTTGAGAAAGATGACTTTTTAACTGCCTTGAGTAACTTGAATTAGAGACTTTGATGAAAAATAAAGAACTCTATGATCCATTTGGAAAAGGAAAAAAAGCAAGCTAAAAGTGATTTCTCGTAACTAAACTTAGCAGAAAAACTTTGTAAATTTTGTGTAGAAGCGTTCTTTTAACCATGTACTTTTCTAGTAAGCGTTTTTTAATTGTAATAATTTATATGTTATAATAAATAACACTTATATAGCATAAGTGCTTACGAGCATAAATATTTCTTATAAAACAATTTCAAACGAGGCCAATTGCCAATATAAAATGGTGTTTGTTTTAGAATGAAATTATTTAGTTCCTCCTTGAGGTTACTAAACCCTAGTTCCTTAATCTTTTTACTTTCCCAATGCCACGTAGTGAAGTTACTAGAATATGACGGAAAAAGATCACTAGAAGTTCAAAAGTCAGAAATTACCTGAAGTTTATATATAAAGTGAAGTAGAGTAGGACCCACCAATTTTGTTTATGTATTATTCCACAGGCCCCACACCACATTGCATCCCTTCAATATGGTCCATGAATTAGCTGTCATTTCACTCCCCATGATACCTACCTTACTGAATTATTATAAGAAATCATGGATTGTAGACCAAATTAAAGTGAACTAAAATTGCATAATTGGGGACGCATTTTGTAACTTTCCATTGATTGAATCATTGGACAAGATTACAAGGAACATCTTGTGGCGGTTGCCAGCATATTACACTCACATGTTGACAAAATTTGGTGATGTTTTTCTCTTTACCCTTTTCTAATTTTGTTACTAGGGTTCTTCACAAATACTCCCCTCGAAACTCCATTTCATAGTAAAAACGGACCTCCACTTTGGACGGGATAAAACCCCTGAATCCAACTGTCATTGTACTGGTGATGCGGAGATGTTATTATTACTATAGTTTGGTTTTTTATTGTTTCTCACTAGTATTATTAGTTGTTAGGTGACTACGTTGATGTGTTGTTGGTTTTAGAGTCAGAATATTGTAAAACCTTCGACAACGTATGGATACATTTATGTAGTTTGAATTTCGAAGTGTTTCTCACTGACAATAATTATAGTCGGGGCGACTTTTCTAATTTGTTGTTGTTGGTTTTACAGTCAGGGTGTTGTAAACCTCCAACGGTATGTGGATACAGCTATGTGAATCCAACACTCTGGGATAAACCCAGTGAACACAGGAGCTGACCCGGACTGCTTGCTGTGGAACAATGACCAGAACCTGTTGTGCTACAATTGCAACTCCTGCAGGGCCTGGACTGTTGGGGAACCTGAGAAAAGAATGGAGGAGAGTCAATGTCATCCTCATTGTGACTGTGGTTATCCTCATTTTCGTCTATCTCGTCGCCTGCAGCGCCTTCAAGAACGCCCAAACGGAGGAACTCTTCCGTCGGTACAAGCAGGGTTGGGTTTAACCAGCTTCCAAACACAACCCTATTTCTCGCATCACCTAAACATTCCCTCTGTTTTCAATTTCTTTTCTTTTGATAACTTTTGATAAGTCCTTGTTTGTCACTAGTGTAGTCGATGTACATATTCGTATTTTCTTTTTCTATCTACACTGTATGGTTGAATAGATAATTGACAGGCTGTGAAGTTCTAGTATGATGTTTAGTTTTCAAATACCTGTACACGACTATTTGGTTCTGGTTTAGCAGCACTCAGTTTCTATTTCAAGCGATGAAATTCTGATAGAAAACTGAGTTATCAAATTCTCGCACACCGACCATTTGATTAAGCGGCACTTGGTTTCCACTTCGTTAAAAGAGGTTTGAAGTTCAAATCTTATGAACGACAGTTGTTGATCAGTCGATGACTTTCTCTTTTAGTGAATAACAGAATCGAATCTCGTTGACAACTTTTCTTTTTTCTTGTCTTTTTTTTACCTGGTATAAGATGCTTCTGTTTCAGTGGTCCTTGCAGCTTCTTGGACAGATCGATCCATGTGCTTTGAACATGTATGGCAATTTGGCAGCATTTTGCAGCTACCCTCACGCTTGCACTCTATTCTATGCTTACAATCTAAAGTATGCACCGACTTGCCTACTACGGAGACCAACTTTGCAAGGAACAAGGTTATCAATATTTATAGTTGTAAACCCAAGCTAGAATTTTGGGTTCTGTTTTCTATTTATTGACACGGTTGATTATTTTTGGGAGTGAAATCACCATATAGAGCTAAAGTATTCAGGTGTCGGAATGGTTAATCGCTATGAATTCACGTTTTAAGTATCAAATTTTGGGCAGAGTAATTAAACCTAAAACCGAAGCTCTAGAGAACGATTATATACCCTAAATAATCAACCATATCAACAAAATAGACCAAAGTCGAACAAAATTGATCAAAAAAGAGATTTTCTCGAAATGTATGTCTTTTAACAAAGAACGGACATCTTGTAAAGAGAAAATATTTCAAGAAATGTAACCACTTCAGTTGGTTTGCATGCACACTGGAGTTAAGAGCGTACAGAGAAAATAAGAGCAGATTTGCAAGTTCACTTACTATGAACTCTTCTTTGGGATGACTCACTGGCTATATTAGCAACTATTAACAAAATTCCTCTTGAAATTCGGGCATCGATTGGAAGACGAAGAAATTTCTCGCATCCGGTATCTCTATACCGTAGATAATTTTCTAGAGTATACGATGTACATAGGATCTGAGCGTCCAGGGTTCGGGGATATATCCACCGCCTGCAGAAAGTAGCAAACTAGTTCAGAAAACTACACGAAGTCTCGACACCTTACATTACAATACATGGCTTGGTCTTTAGGAAAACCGTATAGAACTTTGCGTTACTGTACATGCTCGGCACTGAGGTCACTTATCTAAGAGATCATATTGGTCAACCAAAATCGAATGTGCAAAAAGAAGAATCAGGAAACAGGATTAAGAGAATTGGAATGTCATATGTGAACCTGAGCTGATTATCGGTGCTTTATATGCCATAAGTAGACATTGTACATGCTATGATCAGTGCATGCTGCTCCGTATCGGAAAGAAAATTAGGACAGAGCAGGTGCTACTTCTGTTACTGAAACAAAATAATAGACAATCTACCTGAGGTGATTCAAATCCTCCAGCGTAGTGGAAATATGCCCCCACAATCAAACCATGATCAGCATCACCGGTTGATGTCCATATTGAGATTGCTTTAGTCCAGAAACAACGGTTGGAAAAGCTGTTTGTAGACATTTTCATTAAGTTAGAACTGGTTGAGGGGAGACCTGAAAGATTAAGAAAAACAACTAGCACACAAAAGTGGACAAAATGATCACCTCATTATAGCAAGTCCACCTGGCTTAAGAATCCGGCACATTTCCTTGAAAACGTCAAGAGGCTTTGTGATGTAATCAACGCTAACCTGCAATATGAAAATTCTTAAACTCCAAGAGTAGATAAATCATCAAAGTTATCAGGAACTGGAAAGATTGGTCGCCTCGAGTCATTTACTGAGATTGTGTGAACACAGAATTCATTTTGCAAATTAAAACCCTAGTGCCGATCAACAAGTTCATATGTGCCGTTAAACAACTACACAAAATGATAATTCCTTTATGTAATCCTGATTGTCAGATTTTCTCATGTAAATACAACCAGTGATTATGAGCTCCAAAAGCATAATGCCGCTCGCAGAAATTCTATTGTAAGTAGATAAAATAGTACAAGAGACGGAAAGACAGATACATACCACATTAGTAATCACATCAAAAGAATTGTCTTCAAAGGGAAGTTTGGGGTTCACATTCAAGTCTTGCACAACATACTCTGTCAAGACCTACAAAGTTCAACGAATGAGGGTATATTCATTGATTCGAAATGATAATGTAAGAAGATTCCCAAATAAGAACTGTGATGCAATTTCAAGTGCAAGAAAAACAGTTTGTGTGAACATGTGTAGAATAAAAAATGAGCAAGTAATCATTGGTGCAGCACCAGCATATTTGATATGTCTACATTAAAAATCTGAGAAAGAAGTACCGGATTCCGCTTTAGCTCTTCTTCATTCATCCCCATTCCCACTATTCGCTCTTGCTTGTATCCCGGTGGAAAGTGACTGACCTAAATATACAGATTAAAAACAGGATCATGACTCTGAAAACTTACAACTATGCAATGAGGATGACTCTTCACACTACAACTTAAAGAGACTCACCCAACTGCTACACATGTCCAGCATGCTTACTCCTGGAGTGTTGCTAGGAGGAAACACTTTTGAGTAGTACTTGGTCAGTGCCGCAATGGCAGGATCATCAATATGTGTCACAAAGCGTGGAGTCTCATAAAACACCGAATCCGATGACCTGATCAAATCAAGTTCTAGTTTTCAGAACTTATTAAGTTTAACACGAACTTAGGCTTAACTTATTAAGTTTTCTAGAACACCTAAAGGCAAAAAACACAACTTAGAAGTTTTCTTACTCATCAAAGCGCTGGAAATCCTCAGGCTTGAAGGGAAATTGCTCTGGCCATTCCACATTCTTCAGTATCTTTAATTTGACACAAAATGCGGGATTAGGCATGCCAAATAGAATTAACAAAAATCCCAACATCAAGCAGTAGGTTAACTTTTAAAATTCAGTAATTTTATATAAATAGGTAACCCAGAACATTCTAATTGCAGGGTTTATGGAGACATTGGAGATAACACTGGTATCCTGTGTCAATCATGCACTGTGTGCGTTTTAACTTTCTCACATAAGATTGGCTCGGAAAATTATGACATCTCGTTGCAGGGAAGTTATTCTCCGGTTTTCGCTATCCCAGTAGCTAACTGTTTCAGGTTTCTCGCTACACAAAATCACTCAATTTTCCATAACCCTAGAATCCGACATAACCAATGCAAATTTTCCTCTAAAAATCAAAACTTTAGATTCAATTCAGCAAAACAGATACATATTCCATAATCAAATTCCAAAGTTGAAGAAAACCCAGAAACCAAATCAACAAAACAGCTAAAAGACCAAATGAAAATCCGAACTTTAGACAAAAATCCTACCTCTTCAAAAGAAGGGCCGCTCTTCAACCTTGCAGAAGCAGTGAAAGATTTCCCACCAACCGCACCAGACATGTTCATCAACTGGGCCCAAAACGAGACTCCAAGGCCCAAGATCAGACGGCGGGGAGCTCTCCCTCCACTTTTCCACTTGTTGTCAACCTTTGATGAAATGGGAACTGAGCCAGCAGCTCTAGCTCTAGGAACTAAATAAGAAGAAGAACAAGGACATATACCCGCCAAAATTGGTAACTGATGGACACTGAGACCCATACATTTGGCCATTTTTTTTATAAAATCGGAGATGATATCAAGGAAAGAAAAACTATTTCTTAGAGATTATGTGGAAATATTGGGTCTCATCTTTGCCAACATTTGTGGTGGACTTGGACTTTACGTGGCCATCGCATGACAGTGTTCTAATGGAGCCCATGTTTTTATTTTGTTTTTCATTATTTCGAACATTTGGTTTTTCTTAAAAGAAAAATCGAGGGTAAATCGACACATGACTTCAAATATAAAGATAAATGCTCTTCGTTACTTCACTTAAAAAATAATTGGCTTGTAGAGGATTTGGGATCTTGAAAGAAGTTTGTTTCTCACCACCATTATTTCTTTTCAGCACATCCTCGCACTCAAGATATGTTGTATATAATACGAGCATGAAATTCATTTCCAACTACGTTACAATAATAGTATTTTAAAACAATTATGTATCATTTTTGTAACGTGCTATGTCTAGTTAAATTTCTCTATTAGCTTACTAATAGATGGACCCAATCCAGATTTGGGCTTTCATGGCACGTTCCTGCTTTGCTTGCAGGCTTTCCCATTTTCCAAGTTTCTTCGTCTGTATGGCATTTCCTTGTCATTTGCTTTACTAGGAAAAATAAATTAGAAATTAGTCACAGTTGAAAAGGTTTACTTGGATATATCCATCCTTGTTGAAGAAATTAAAAAGGGAAAAATTTAAAGTGTATAAACAAGTAGTGTTTATAGTACAAAACTTTCTTTCTCCTAGTGAGAGACTTTGTACTTGTTTAAATGTGTTTTTTAAAATGACTGAAAGCGTTTTTGGTGAAAATATTTTAAAACCAATCTTCAGCAAAAAATGCAAGTAAATTTTGGAAAAGCACTTTAAGTGTTTTTGGAACCAAAAAACATTTTATCTAAAAGTGCTTTTATCTATTTTAAAAGTACATCCAAATGAGCCCCTTCTCTCATATTGAGAGTACTCATTACCGTTTTGTATGAGGTTTTCAATTTTGAGCAAATTTGGTGCCGCCGACCCTAATTTCGTTCAAGAACGGTCTCCGTTCTCCCCTTTCTTTCATTTTCTCCTCTTTTCCATCCTTCTACTGTTTTTCCCCTTCTTATCATCCGATTTATTCTATTCTTCTTACCCCACTAGTATCCCCCTCCTTGTTCATCCATATTTCGATCTACCACCATGCATCCTCTTCAGATGGTAAGTAGAACTTCGGTGTTTCCAACATCATCACCTTCTTTATGTTGTCTACCTTTACTAACAATGTTGCTTATGGGTTTCTATGGGCTTCATCTTGGTAGCTGGCTTCTTTCATTTGTTTGCCAGCTATCCTTAATTTGTAGTTGTGCTCGAAGAGCTGATCGGGGTTGGATGTCGCAATTGGCGAGACGTTGATTGGTTGTGGGCTTGGAATTGGACGGATCGAGAAACGCTATTGGGGCGGCGATAGCTGTAGATTTTTCTGTTCTATGTAGCTTTGCTTTTGTTTTGGAGCCTCAGCTGTCGGCTGGCCTTTTGTTTGGCCCATTTTGGCTTGTTTATATATTTTAGCTTTGGGCATTTGGTTTGATAGTCTGTAAGTTTGTGGTTTGTAATAAAAGTAACTTTGTACCAAAAAAAAAAAAAAAAAGTAGTGCATATAGGGGTGTGCTATCCACACACCCCTTTTACTTCTCACATATCCCTTATTAATTTATATCCGTTGATCTTCTTCAATTCATTCGATCTGACGACTGAAAACTAAAAAGGTGTGGGAAAAGGAAAAAATGGTGTGTGGATATCACACCCCTACATATATGAAGAATTTCATGAAACAAATTCACCACCACAATAACATCTCAGTCTAGTAATGCAACATTATGTTTAAATTTAACTCAACTTACCCTTGATATTGGATAATTGGATCGAGACGCCATTTTAATAATAAACTTATTTCATGTAATTTTTTTTTTTTTAGAAATATTTTGTTGGATGTAAGTTGCTCTCGAGCACAAAACCTTAAATCTCTAGGTGCAGCTTGGAAGAAGACGAAATATGGTGAGGAAAGGAGGAACGTTGATTAGAAGGAAGGGTTCCAAAACAATTGACAGCCAAAAAAATGGTACTTTGTGACTAGACATTTCCAAAATATGTGACAGAATAGATAAACAAATGCTTTGCTAGCTTGCACTTGCAGCAATTTAGTAGACAGAAAGTTCCAAGTGGGTAAGTGTCCATCCAATTTTAAAACATTTTGAAGAAAAGCACATGATCCAAGCAGAGATGCATGATTGCATGTGGGAATAGTTAGCTACCTACTTGGCTTTCACTTTTGCACTATGCATGCACCAAAATTATACCTACGATTCCATTTTAAAAGAGAAATGCTCTTTTGAGTTTGAAAAATTCTCATGTAACTCAACAATTTTTCTTCAATAGTTTGAGATTATCGAGTAGTTCGGAAACAAACAGTAATGATTGATTTAAAAAAAATCAAATAATAAAGATTGTTTAAAAAGTCGAACTAAGATTATTCATTTTTTATTTGTCCTGCTCATCAATTGATCATTGTCTCATGCATAACTTGATTCCTGTTGAATGAGCTATGAAGTCAGGGATGATGTAATATGCATAAATTCGTATTTAATCTTTTTCATTCGTTAGTTAATCATAGTTTCACACACAACTTCAAATCTTCGATCCTTGTCAAGTTATAGGGTGAAACTACAACATCTCAGACTATTGTATACATAGATGAGGCAACGAGAAAATCTCTTACATTCTGGTACGAATATCGTATTCCATAAGTAAAATAATTTAAAATTTCGTTTTTTGAAAAATAAAAGATAAAAGATAAAAGTTTTGTGGTTAATACGTTGCATTTAATTTGTTAATAATGTTTTTGTCTTTTATTTTTTAATAATGTTTTTGTCTTAAATACGTAGCAACATCCACTTCAAACCTCTATATAAACAACTCCCATTCCCTCCCCACTCCCTCTCCCACCACATTTCTAGGATCTCTCCCTCTCCGATCCCAACCCACCTATCCCATCAACCGGGACGACCCGCCCACCCCTCTCCCCGAAATGGACCGACCCAGATTCGTAATCGAAGCCTCCGAGGCCGAATCAATGGCCAAGCAGTCCAACCTCACCGTCCTCCAGCTCCTCCCCTCCCTCGTCAAGCCCGCCCAGGCCCTCGCCCGCCCGCCCATCTCCAAATTCCACGTCGGAGCCGTCGGGTACGGTTCATCGGGTCGGATCTTCCTCGGCGTCAACCTCGAGTTCCCGGGTCTCCCCCTCCACTACTCGGTCCACGCCGAGCAGTTCCTCGTCACCAACCTCTCAATCCATTCGGAATCAAAGCTCCAATACATCGCCGTCTCCGCCGCCCCTTGTGGCCATTGCCGCCAGTTCTTCCAAGAAATCCGCGGAGCCCAGGATATCCAGATCCTAATTACCTCGGTGGAATCAGGCGACGACAACTCCGGGCTAAACGGTTTCGACCCGCTTCTCCGTTTACTCCCCCACCGATTCGGACCCGAAGACCTCCTGGGACAGGACGTGCCGTTGCTCTTAGAGCAGCACGAAAACGGCCAGTCGTTTTTGAGCGAAACCGAGAATTTAACCGGAGATTTTAAACTGAATGCGGAGTTAAAAGCCGCGGCTTTAGAGGCCGCGAATAAGTCACACGCGCCGTACAGCGGGTGCCCGTCGGGTGTGGCGATTTTGGACTCCGACGGGAAAATGTACAAAGGGTCGTACATGGAGTCCGCCGCCTATAATCCGAGCATGGGCCCGGCTCAGGCGGCGGTGGTGGCTTACATTGTCGGCGGTGGTGGCGGGTATGAGAAAATTGTGGGCGCGGTTTTGGTGGAAAAAGCTGACGTCTTGGTTAAGCAAGAGCACACGGCGAGGTTGCTATTTCAGGCAATCTCGCCCAAGGTCGATTTTCGGGTTTTTCACTGCGGTTCGGGTTCAAATTGTGTAAAAAGTCTTGATCTTTGATGATCATGAGTTACGCGATTGTTACGAAGCGTTGTTATTGGATGAATTGTGAATCAATGAAGGATAAATAAGCATTGTCCTTGACGGAGAACGGGATGGCATTTTGTAATGTTTGAGTTTCTTATTTCTGTGTATTGGGTTAGGCTGTCCATAAACAAATAAGCATGATCTTTGACGGTGAACGGAATGTCATTGTAGCAGTATCCTAATCCAATTAAAGTGTGTGATTCGAATCTCGTTGTAAGGAAGTTCTTCTCCTGCATGACGCCATACAAATTGTAATCAATCCACTTCGTAAGTTTTTGTCGCTGCCAATCTCAAAGTATATGAATCCTTGGACTTCTCTGTTCTTATCAAATTGTTGCTCGTTTAACCTTTTCACACGACAGTGCGTGATGGATGGGCATCCGTGTTGTAGGGAACTTCTTTATCCTGCATGACGCCATGCAAATTGCAATCCATCCACGGAATTGGTTTTGTTGTACCTTGTGGAAATGGAATTTCTCGGTTCAGTACTTTGCGTCATGAGATTGGCTATTACGTTACTGTCATAGCTTGTGGGATGTTTGCCATTTAGTGGCTGCCAAGTGCCGACTTTTTTCAGAAGCTAACATTTTGCAAGGAAAAAGCTTTTTTTGTTAGTACAGTCAGCCAAACAGAGAAAAAGAACAAAGATTACCATAAGCTTATGGATTAGATGGTGTAGATAGATAGCACCGGATTTAAATTGAATTAGTCAACTCAGCTTTGCAAATTTGATAGGAGTGTGGATATCTACTGAGCTGGATTTCCAATACCTTCACCTTTCAAAAAAAAAAAAAAAAATGTGAAAGAGCAGATGATGTCTATCGCAATGGTCAAGAGTAATGTTGTTTATGTATTCTGGTGCAGGTTTGATTCTCACAGATCTTCCCTCTTAACAACTAACGCACTAATGTTATCGTTTGTCAAAAAATAAAAATTGGAACAACAAAGTTTACTAGTTTGATCTGTTTTGAATTGATGTCAAAGGCGAAGTTTTACTCATTACAAGTTACGATTTTGTTGTTTTTCGATCACCCAAAGGTACAGTACAAGGCGTTATTCAGCGGTGCATTCGGAGGTTTAACATTTCGGCGATTTCATCTGCAATGGTTGAGCAGTTGGATGGAAATGGGACGAGGAGACATAGCCAGATCTTGATGGATGCAAAGTTGGAACCTAATATGTCTTCACAAAGTGTCTTGGTTGCTTTACATTGTAAATGTTGTGCCTTGGTTGCAAAGGAAACCATAGTCTAGAATGACACTTTCTACCTAGGGACCCAACCTTTGCACTGAAAATAGTGGCTGAAAAGTGAGCTTTTCATAACCATTTTGATTTTTTTTATTTTTTATTTTTTTGGTGTGTAAGAGATAGAGCGGAACTATATGAGAAAAAAGACGGGTGAAGAAGGGTGAAGGGAGAAATGAAGGATAATGCATGAAACAAAAATTTAAAATGAAAACACTTAAAACTTGTGTTTGACTGTAGTTTTTTTTTTTTTTGGTAGTATTTTCTTCTCTTTCTTTCACAAAAAGATGAAAACGAAAAAAGAAAAAAAAGTTATCAAAAAAGTGCCAAGTTTGCCAAAATATGAAGAGGGTTCCAACCTGAGCATCCAATTCTCCTAACTGACCCTGCATTGGTATCATGACACAAAGGATCTTGCAATTTGGTTGAATTTAACATATTCTTTGTAGCTATATACAATCAAGCTTAGCCTGGACGTGTGATTGAAGAGTTCAAAATAATGGAACAGATTCCAAAAGCATACTGATCTAACTCATATCTGCGTTCGGAATCAACCTTTGAGTATATGTTCTTCTCCCATCTTGGAAATTTGGAGAAAAAAGGTGCATTCTTATCTACCCATCAGTCCACTGTGACAATGTGGAAAGAAAAGATGGAGTTGGTTGAGCCTTTTGCAGCCTTCTGTTTCCATCAATTCTCATAAAGGAAGAACCTGAATTTTCCTTTTATCTCCATGGAGCTTCTTCGCAGTTTCAGCTCCAATTGCATGTCACCATTTACATATGAATTTACAGACTCTGAGTCCTAGAGGCACGTGTCGTTGAACCCATAATTCACCATCGAGAACAAGGAAATTTTGGAAATAAAATAAAGAAAATGATTCCCGCATTCCTGTTTTCTCCTTTGTTTATATCCTTTGATTCTCTTTCGATTTTCTCAATCCAAACAAAAGAAAAGAGAGGTGTGATGGGGAGAAAAGTAGAGTGCGGAAATCATTTCTATTTCGGAAAAGAAAAGACGGTGAAAATAAGGCCTTACTTTTTTGCGATTCCAGGTAATAAATCATCAATCACCAATATGTAATTCTCATTATTTGGCCAAAGAATAAGAAGAAGAGGCAGCATGTTTGAGTAGGCAGTTTGAGAACATGTGCACCACCTTCACCTGATCCAAGCCCTTCTTCATCATCCACAATGAAGACATCCTCAGGCTCCCTCAGAGCTCCATGCACCAGAACAACCGCGAGGCCAATGGAGAGTCCGGCGATGATATGATATCTCGCATTGGTAAGGAAAAGTGCGACAACTGTGACCACCAACAGAGCCATCGTCACCACTCGTTCGTTGATCCGGTACCCTAGAATCATCAAGGGTTGGTCATGCAGGAAAAATAGAAAGAACCATGCAACCATCATGACGACGAAGACAATCAACGAAATGGGGTGCCAAAGGAGGCTAAGGAAGAGGAGGAACAATGTGATGATGGCGTAGTTCATGCGATAGAAGACGACGTTGGTCTTGATTCTGTGGATTGATTGGTTGAAGGTGGAGGGAATGGTGAGATTTTGCAGTTGTATCATCCCCAGCCATGGTCTTCGGTTCTCTAGGCCTGTCTGGATCTGTTCTTTTGCGCGTATGACGAAATGTTGGTTCGATGATGGCGGAGGTTCGGTCGTGATAGTCCCGTACGTTGTCATTGTCCGGTGGCGGAGACGGAGAGAAGAATAGAATGGTATGGAGGTCTGTGGCAGAGACTCTGCAGAATGCGTGCAGCTTGGATATCTAATTTTGGGGGAGAAGTTTAGATCACTGATCACGCATCAGCTACGTGTTAGGTTGATGTTTAAGCAAGTTTTTATTGATCACATGATGTTTTTGTTACAAAATTATATAAGATGTTTTATTTATAACATCGGATGTACAAAAAATGGTTCAGCTGAAATGGACGGTGACGATTGTTCCATACACAGGAGACCTTTCAAATCGACAAAGAAGCCTAAACGGTTGACATTCATCAACAGAAACATGACACAGAATAGTAGAAGCTCGTTTAACAATTTCTTCGACTCGTCTATGACTCACTGAGTGGCTGGGACTTCTCCTTGCTGCACCCTCCACGGTCCTCCGTAAAACTTTGGCTTCATAAGAGGCACTGCCTGCCCAGGATGTTCTTCCCAGTACTTTTCCTGCACAATACCAAAGGTGAAATTTTTATGTGATCTTCAAAACTTGACATGAGAAGATTTATCTCCATTGAATTTCGGGTATATATGTCGACATGTAGATATGTATTTACAGCTAAACCGATTCACTGATATCTAAATGTGAAAAAGATAAAAGCTATTCAGCATAGATCTCCTAAAAGTGGATGAAGGGAGCTTGATAGGATATCATCATATATAAACAAGCAAGCAACGAAGACAAGAGTAGTTAGGTCAGATCAGCAGGCGCATTGAGAATTGTTGACAGAACTACTATGGCACCAAAAATATGTAAGAATAATTTCCAAAACATGAATTAAAACTGGGGAGGAACAAAACTGGAACGGTGAGATGGTTGCGTTGGTAACCGTTGAATTTGAAATTCAAGTTGCAGCACCGTTTGAACGATTGGCAGCCATCACTTGGTTTATTTGGCTGCAAGTGATTTGAATTAATGCAGAAAGATGTATCCCAAATTGGTACTTTTTGGTAGTTATATTATGGCCTTTGATCTTGTATGTGATTCAATCTAATGGCCATTATACGATTCAAAAAATAAACATCTCTTCATTGAAGAGTTGTGACTGATATTTCCAAATGGGCATGACTCGTTTGAAGAGATACATCAATCCCTAGAAATAGAGATTGTTTCCAGCATATTTGGATATAACCAAGAAGTTCCATTTCTCCCTCTCGAATTTACGAGTCTCCATTATTTCATACAAAAACCTAGAAACTAATAACCTGCAGAATTAGTTTCTAGAATCCTTGAGTTTCTTGTAAGTCTTCTATCGGCGTTGGGTTGTAAGTGCAAGACGCAGATCAACAATAGCAAGTTGCTAGGCTTCATTGTATCCACAGGCTCAATCGCATACTCCCCTCTGCACACTAGATGTGGGGGCAAATAGAGTCTGAAAGATAGCGTATTTATACGCATCTTGAAGCAATCATTCATCCTTCATCATAACCATAACCCATATGTTCTAAAAATTTCTCCAACAAAATGTAAGCTACAGACAGTAGAAATGAGACCCTATTACTTGCCCATCACTCAATAGATCCAAAAAGTAAATCAAATGGGCATCTTGGGATCGAACAGAAAGAAGACCCAAAGGTGTAATTAAATTTTAGAAACCAAAGTGTATCAACTCTGTGATTAAAAGACCGATGCCAACAACAATAAACTATCGATGCCGAAGTAAACTAGACCTACTGAACCAATCAAAAGTGTGAAGTCAATTAAGCATCAAATGCTACTCCTTTCATCTCCAAACCTGATGCCAAATCTCTGACACTTCTCTCAACTGTACATATAGTATATACTCAAACAATGATATGTATACCTTCAAGCAGAAGACACAATGCCATAAGGCATTCTATCAAATTACATCTCCTAAACGACACATAGTTCAAACAAACTCAACAAGTTTACAGATTTATCAGCAAATTGATTTCAGTCCAATAAAAGCTTCAAGAAAAAACCGACCTTCGGTCCATGATAACTAAATCATAGATTTATCAGCAAATTATTAGCACAGAGATCAATCAATAGGTTTCAAAAGTTTAACATTTGAAGCTGAACAAGAAAATGGAAATTTTCTAACTTTCTATTCCTATAACTTTGGGCATCAAAACTAAAAACCCATATAAAAAATTTGGGTTTTGATCAACTAAATTAACCCAGAAAATTAACAATAATAACAATAAATACAAGCAAAAAAAGAAAAAAAAATTGAAGACCCAGCGAAATGAGTACCTTGTAAAGCTGCTCAGTGATAGCAGAACCAATGACCCCGGTGTAGAAAGCGGCGACGTAGATGGTGACCAATGGAGTGAACGATTTGGGTCTGCTGTAGGGCTCCACCATGTTCCAAAGAATCATCCTTTCCCACTTGGTGTAAACGTAGTCTGCGTATTTCCTCCATAGATAGCTCGCCATTTTCACCTGATTTTATTGATCGGTTCGAATTGGGTGTTTTCACAGTGTCGCTGCGAGAGGATATGTAATCTAGGGTTTGGGCTTTATTGGATTTTTCGTTTCTTTTCCCGAGCTTTCTCGGCAGCCAAGCGGAGTATTTGAGTCGGCTGGAAAGGGTAAGCGTGGAAGAAGAAGGAAAGCACAGTTGCGGTTGGAAGGGAGGGAAGCACGTGACCGGGACCAAAACATAATTGTAAAACGACAAGTCGTTTACCCTTTTTCTTCCCTTTTTTTTGACAGTCGGACTTTTTTAACCCGGATGTTGTATACTATCATTTACAATGGAAAGAGACTTCGAACTTGAGTGCAAAAGAAAAAACACACTACTATGGCCAACGAATTCACCGCCACCCTAAGTCTACTATTAGATTATGTAAGTTCTAGTAGCATATCATTGAATTAATCAAGTGGTTTAGAGCCTTGCACTTGAGGTCCTTTGTTCAAGACTTTGAGGCGCCCCATCCCCCAATATCGCTTGAAAACAAAACCTGGTTATAAAAGAATCACTCATATCATATTATGAGCCTGGAGTTTCTTTAACCACAGAAATTTCAATTACATATATGAAATCCAGAACAAGAATGGAAAAGAATGTGGCAGAATAGCAACTTGTGCTTTTGGGTTCTTTTACATAAATATACAGAATACAGGTAGAAAGCTTAAGCTGACTATCGATGGGTTTGATACTATGGACCGGTTTTCTTTACTACAATTGCTTGAGTCGAAGAAGTTCTATGATGAGGCAGATTCTAAGGGCTTGTCTTCGGAGCTGAGGATGGTTCCGGTATAAGATCTCCAACTCCCTTCGGAGGGCCAATGCTGCAACGATCTGTGTTGTGCAATGCAATAGCATCCTTTAACTTCTGTAACTGCATAAGGTTATGAACACAATCAGGTAGTTTAAGATGAAAATGGATGTGAAACTTCCTAAAGGCATTAAAGGAATACTAAAACTTGGCCATCCACACTACCCGCATGACAAATAGAGTTAAGACATTTACAAGAAGATAACAGAAGATGATTGTTCTCAACAGTATGACAATCGAGTTTACTATAATCAACATAATGCTAATTTATTCAGCTATACTAATCGGAGTTGGAGTGCTAAGCCAATGATGATTCTGAGAATTGAGAACTAGGTGCTTCAGCCGTTATAAACGGTTTTTTAGGATGGAAAAGAAAGGAGAGACTAATAAACATAGGATTCAACGTACTGTTTTACCCATCTTCCCGATATCTAACTGATAAAAATAAAGTTCAATAACTACCTTAGCAAGTGAACATGAAAAAGATTCAAGCTGTCCCTCAGATCCACGATAGAAGTGGAAATAGGGAAGCACCTTCACATTCATACTTTTGCACATTGGTTTGTTCTCGTCGAAGTTCACTTTCAGGAATAAAATCTCAGGGTGGTCTTCAGCTGTTCTGCAGAGCTGACACATGTATTAAACAATAATGTCAGGAACATAGCACCTCAACCATATAAAAACAAATTTGAAACAGTGTAATACATTTAATGTCATTTAAGTTTCTATTGAAGGGTGTTAGTTTCCAGGACATTCTTTCAAAATGAACTTCAAAATTGAAGGATTCTTAAGTTCCATTAAACATTTAAGCTGAAATCTTTGGTAGAGCTATCCCCTCTCTTAAAAAAACAGTTACCATATACTGATCAGTCAGAATGTTTCTCATGAAATGACACCTCTCGACAACAGAAGGCAATGTTCCAAAAACAATGAAGCAGCTAACCAAGGCATGCTCAGCATCTAGAAACGCTTAATACAGTATATACCATAGCGGCATACAATTAGTGTAGAAAAAATAATGATGGTTTAAGAGTTTATATGTTACGCTGGCGTTGCATATAAGACAGTTCTCGAACTAAGAGGAACACCATTAAGGATGCATGTCCAAATCAATTTCTGTCTGGATCCCAATTGCAGAAACATATATACAGCATTTTGAACTTGGTTATTTCTTTTCTTTTAAACTTAGGCAGCATACAATACAACCATATAAAAGTAAAAGAACCAAAGAAAACACTCATCTGACCGAAATTAGTCCCGGTTTATCCAACAAGACATGCCACTGCTTCCTTGGGCAAATTTGACATCTGGAATCAAACCATTCTAGTGAACTTGAAGTCTTACAGTTCAAGTTAGCAAGAATAAACCAGGAAGGTTTCAATAACACCAGTCCTATAATACCCGTATGTATTCACATATATGCGCATGGACATTACCTTCTTCACTGCCTTGTTTAAGTCAAACAACTTACGAATTATTATTCACGAGCTATACGAAAGTTTTTCAAGCATAAAGTAACGAGAAGGAACCGAATTATGAGATTACCTTAGGAAACAATGCACGGCAAGAAGCACACCAAGTCCCATAGAATTCTACAATTACTAATCTATCACCAGCTTGCGCTAAAGCACTCAAAAACTCTGGAGTAGAATGAATGTCGACCATATTCGGAACACTTCTTTCCCACCATTTTGGCTGGTCTTTGTCTTTTTCAGCAACAGTAGCCTGCACCTGCATGTAGTGCACAAGAACCCATTAGACAAACATTCTTTCACAACATCAGCGATCAGCGTAGCCCAAAACTTGGGGAAAACTAACAAAACATCAATTTCCAATCCATTTTCGCCTTCCCTTTCAATATTTTCCCTTTGTGCAACTGATACCAAAAGCCATATTATCGAAATTAGCTAAAGCAGCGAAATGCAATGGAATATGACAACTTCAACAAATGGGGTTCCCAAAAATGCCTCTAATTTGCAGAAAACTTGCCAATCGAAACCCAATTCACAAACAAAATTACCAAAAGCTATCATATACTGCCAAATTACAACACTTCAACAAATGGGTAATCGTAAATTCAATCAAATATTAAGCAGATAACAGAAAAATAAAAAATAAAACTTGCCAATTGTGGATCGAATTACCTTGAAACTAACCAACTGCTTTCTGGTTCTGAAAGCAAATGGAGCGACAGACGAATACGAGAGGGGATAAACCTTCCTGTATGGATTTTGATTGGCTGGGAGGCCCGGTTGCAGAGAATTGAAAGAGGAGGCGAAGGAGGTGAGCAGAGACGAAGAGAAACGAAGTGAATGGAATGGCAATCTCAAAACATCAGCCATTTAATTAAAATACTTGAAAAAAACAGAGAAAAGTACTGAGCTTTTTGAAAGATAAAAAACTGAGAAATGGTAAGAGTCAAAGGCAGAGAAGAAGAAAGGCCATGGCTTTTCGAGAAAGGAAGAGTTTTTGTATTACTATCTGCTCTGCTGCGTGTGTGAACCAGATGGTACCAGAGGACGGACGATGCTGTTTGGTCCGGGTCGATTCCACTTCTATTTTCACTTTCCAATTTCAAGGACTTGCTCATTTTTTGGGTTCGGTTTTTTTATCACGTTTGTAAATATTGAACGGATATAGTACACGAAAATGTGTTATTATTTTATCGTATAAATATTATGTTTAAATTTTTTTTGTTCTTTTTATTTCTAAAGTTTAAAAGAATTTCATTCATTTGATTTAGAGACTTTAATTTTTATATGAATAAAAAAATTAACGATTCATATGATATTACTTTAATAGTCGTTGATTTGTTATTTAAACTACATGCTAATAAAACTTTCTTTGTCAAATGTCAACTAAAAGAAGGTGAAAATTTATTTTTGTCTTCTTTCACAACAAAAAAGTTAACGACAATAATGCAATTTCACAAAATAAAATTTTACTGTTTTTTGTTTAAGCCTCACTTACATGTGATTTTATCAATCTTTACTTTAAAAATATAAATAAATAAACCTCTCTCGGTCTCTCCTCCTTCCCCACTCCCACGTTATTTTTGTCACTCTCTTCCTTTCTCCTTCAATTTAAAAAACAAAAGTAAAAATTTCACACGCTTTGTGTATACTAGTCTATCAAATTGATGATTAATCACAATGATATTGCTAAAAGGTGTTCAAATTAGTGAGGTTTTCTAGACGTAAAATGGTAAATGGTAATTATGACGTAAAATGGTAATTCCCTATTCTATATGTCAAAATGTTTTTACTTTTGCTCGCGCATCGGGTCATGGGTTAGAATTTTTTTTCCCTGACCTTAGGTTCGGACCTTGATAAAATGGTATCAAAGCTCTAGGAATTAGACACCCTTGGAAAATGTGGAGCCTTTTAGGTTGAATTGAAATGAGATAGTGACATAAAATTTTAAATTATTTACCTAATCATTAGTAAAATTCAACAAGTTGATGGGAACAAGTGTTGAGTTGCCAAACATTTATTATTTTCCTTTTTATTGTAATAAAAAACCTCAAAAGAATAATATCGTCGCCTTTCCATTTTAGCTCAAAAGTTTGGAAAAATCGATTATTTAGGAAGTGACAACAATGGTGTATTTATTCTTTCGATGTTTTGAATTCACGTTGTCCTTTCAAACACATCAATATTATACACATTAAAAACTCCACACTACATATTTTACTTCCTCGCATTCTTTTTTCTTTATTCCAACTTTCAATTTTTTATTTTTATTTTATGTAAAATGAACTTATTTTTTAATATAAAATCTATAAATAGGCCTTTTTTCAATTTCAAATGTACCCTTATTTAAAAATATAAAATATAACATTTTATTTTGTGAAAAAGCTAAAAAATCTGATAATTGTAAGACTGAATTATTTATCTTTGTAGGATTACAGGGAGAAATTAATACTAAAATTTAATATTTTTCTTTCAATAAAAATATTCAAATTTAATAAGATTTTACTATAAGATTTTGGTCCAATAAAATTTCAATCAAAATAATGTATCCATGTGCATTTTTGGGTACATTACTATATAGCTTATCTACATTTTTTTTAAGGCTATGGATACATTCTTTTTGACACACCTCGACTTAAATCAGAGCGTGTTGGCCGTCATATTAGAGTGACGTAACCATGTGCACAATGCGGAAGCAAAATGATAATAAAAATGCGAATAAATAAAAACCAACTACTAGCAGTCCAGCTCAGAAAAGGTGTTAGTACGAGATTAAGTGTGAAATACACAACCTGAGCATAAGTAGCCTAAGTGCAATCCAGCAGGACAAATACTAATTATACAACACCCAAAAGTGATCCTACATTTGTGAAATCTGTCAGAACCACCACCGGAATCCTCGTATGCCACCAACGATAACTCCTACCTAGAACCTGGAGGGGCACAAAATAGAAAGTGTGAGTAGGCAAAAACAAAGCTTTTCAAAATCATTTCATTTCTCAAAAGTTATAACCCCTCGCTATAAAACCTGTATAATTTCCCAGAAAATAGGATATATATATATATATATCACAACCATGCTCAGAATAGCAAAATTCACCAATATGCCATGTCAGATATCTCAACATAAAAATATAGTAAGTCAGGTGATATAAATCAATCCAAATGATATGTCAGCCGGAGTCACCTAACGTGACCTGTACGGCTGAATCTAGAGCTCATCCATCTAGCGGGAGTCACCTAACGTGACTTGTATGACTCAATTCCACATCTCAACAAATATACCTGCACACAAGTCGAAACCACCTAAAGTGGTATGTACGATAGGACTGTGTGTAAATAGATACGCTCAAGTGCTACGATCACGTGAAGACTGTGTGAATAATCGCGGGTCACCTACGAGTCGGAACCACCTATAGTGGTCTGTATGACAGGACTGTGCACTTAACTTGGATCCAAGATGAGTGTATGGTGCGGGAGGTGAACATCACGTGAAGGACTGTGCCTTAACTCTGGGCGGGAGCACTAACACCGGGGTGCAGGTTTATGAGCTCTCAATTCATCTCACATAATCATCAATTAACAAAAACAATCTACAACTCACCTGGTACTTACCTGAGCGTCCACCGCGTCAAATCACAGTATGCACATAACATACAAATTCAAAGATGATGTACGTATAAATCAATATGCATGACATTTCTAAACATAATTTCATTCAAATTCATTTTCTGGGAAAAATACCAAGTATATAGATATATACTGAAAACCAAAAGCCCACTCACTGGTATGTGGAAGGGTCATAGCCCCCGAAGCCTCGATTGACTGCGCTCGTCCTGAGAATAGGTCTCACCTATAAGTGAAACAATTATATAAACGTTAATTTAAAGCACATAAACAAAACTAGCTAATAACTTCTCATACATTGCTCAAATGGAGTGTTTGAATATGCCAATGTGATTTATCAACACCACGAACATCCCCATAATTTTAGAAAATTTTTTCGACCACCCACTCGCCACTACACGCCGGCCAAGGCACGGCCAGACGCGCCCCCACGTGCCTCGCACGCCTAATGGTAACCATTAACGACGTCAAGAATATTCCGTTAAAACCTTAACAGAAGTTAACTGCAGTTACCTAACGCCATTAGAATATTTCGTCAACTTTGACGGAATATTCGTCTCCTTCTCTAGGCGAGCCTCACCGATCGCCACCATCTGCAACTCGAATTTTCACCAGTTTATGGAAAAACTTCAAAACTTCATATCTTCTTCAATTCTTAACCAAATTCCATGAAATTTGTACCAAAATGAAGCTTACAACAAGTAAAACAAAACCTTACCACTTTTGGAACTTAAATCCAACGGAAAGTCACCTGACAAACCTTCGATAATCTGGCCAAACTTGAAACTCGCCAAACTCAACTTCCCGACATCCAAAACACTTCGTTTTTCTTCTCCGAGCTTCGTGAAGACATTCTAAAGCTCCCTAGAAGCTTAAAAACTTCTAAAAACTTCGCGATCACGTTTGCATGAACAGTACTCCAAATCGGGGTTCTTGGTTCCAAAGGTTTCCGAGGTTTTCATGTCCAACCAAAGGTATGGATCGACTCCTGAGCTTGAAAGGAGTCCAATAACACTAACAACGATCTCGATTCGTGAGTGGAGTGTTGGCTTCAAAGTTGTTCGTACAATTGTACGAAAATGGAAGAAAATCCGAGAGAAAGGAGAGAGAGAGTCTACGGGGAAAGGGTATGGATGTGTGTGAGTGTGTGATGTCCAGCTGAGTCACCAACCAAAAACAAATTACCCACGACACCAGCTAACGTCTAAAGGCAAAATTGTCATTCCATGCCATCGATAAAAATATTTCGGGACGGGCTGTGACACTTTTGCCATTTATTATTCATATTGTTACATTGTTTTTATCTATTTATTTAATAAAAAATTTGAAATTCTTTTTTATCATAGCCATTTAAAATAGAAATATAAAGAAAACTGGATATGAATTTAGAGGTTTGTACCCAACATTAGGTTAAAAGTTCAAATTTGAAAATCAAGCTTCATTTTATATGTTTGGCTGCGTGATATATGGAATAGATTTATGGGTTATGGATTTAGATGCTAATTGCAAGCCTATTTAATATGCATTCTAGTATTTTGTAAAATGAATTGCCACAGTGGAAAACTAAGGGACTTGAATAAAAAAAACTCAAATTAATATGGGTTTAGTCTAAGAAAGTTATCAACCAAGAACCGAAACTAAAATGTCCTTAGATAAGAACTCATTTTTATTGATAAAAGAAAATTATTTTCATTGAATTTCTAACATATATCGACACATGGAACCACATATGTGCCTTTTCGTTATTCTTTTTGTTTCTAGTATCATGGGCCCCACTAATGTAATAATACATATTTGTTGGGAATTGTTATTGATATTTCAAAAATCTCATTCTACACTTCAAACTTACTATATTTGGAAAGAAAAATACACTTGTGAGGAGTGTAGAATGAAATTTTTAGAGTATCAATAACACTTCCCTATTTGTTTTGCAAAACACATTTTTCAGCACAAACCGTGATGATTTAACCCTTTTGTTGAAGCCACCTTCATCGTTTCGAGCAGGTGAGTTGTAAATAGAAACCACCCATAAAATTATTTAGTTTCAACCACAGAGTACGTAGTAACATGTATGCCTACCCATAAAATTATTTAGTTTCAACCATGGAGTACGTAGTAACATGTATGCCTTTATTAATGGTGTTGGGCCCGTAAAAAAATATGTGGACGTGGAGGCTCAAGCCATAAATTATCATGTATATTTATATAATGGGAGCCCACTAAAATGCTATTTTTTGTTTCCTCAAGAGTGTAAAACATCTTAGATTATCTCTAAATGAGATGTGAAATTCTAAGTGGAATATCATGTACTCAAATTTGAAGTTAAGTGCAAGCTCCAACCGTGGATTGACATATGAGTTTTCATATGCCAAATCTGATATATGAGAAAAAGGTGATGTCAAATAATTTTTAATTATTTTGTTGTGTATGTCTCATTAATGAACCAATTATAGATCTTTGAAATTTATTTTAATTGATTTCTTTTTTAAATGGGTCCTACAAATATTATTTATAACAAAAAAAATATATATCAATTGAAAATAAAGAAAATCTGACATTGTCACATTAGCTTTCAAATTAACATTTGACATTTATCTTTTGACATCTCATTTGGAGATGCTTTTATATGTTGGCCTAGTTATTTGCCAATACTAGTAAGCACTAATTACGTGTCTCAATCGTGATCTCTAACTGCGATTAGAGCTTTGATATACGTGATAAGTCCTCTATAATTGGGGCAAAGGCTTCCATTTTTTAAGAAAATTATGATTTAGCCATTTTATTGTTGAAGTAACCTTCATCATTCGAGTGGGTGACTTGTAAATAGAAACCACCTGTAAAATTATTAGAGTAAATTGTAGCTATAGTCCATTAACTTTAACTCAATTGGAGCAATGGTTCCTCAACTAAAAATCCATTATCATTGGTCCCTCAACTCATCAAAACGTGCATCTATGGTCCCTCAACTAAAAATTCATTACCATTAGTCTCTCAACTTTAATTCAACTAGAGAAATGGTCCCTTAAGTTTTACCCAATTGTAGCAATGATCCTTCCAACATAACTCGTTTTGACAAAATTTTTGACGTAGTTGACAAAAATGACCATAATTACACACTTTGATGAGTTAAGAGACCTTAATTATATAAATGCTTATTCCAACATAACTTATTTTAGCAAAATATTAACGAAATTGATAAAAATGACTATAGCTACATATTTTGATAAGTTGAGGGATCAATGGTAATGATTTTTAGTTGAGGGACCATTACTCTAATTTGATTAAAGTTGAAAGATCATTGCTACAATTTACTCAAATATTAAGTTTCACTTAAGCGATACATAGTAACACACTAGCAATAGTGCCCACACGTTGTTGTGGGTCTCAAAACTACTGGACATAAAAGAAGAAAACAGTCAGTGCAAACTTGTAATTGATAGTTTGTAATTAACAGGTTTTTAGTATGTTCATGCTATTTAAACACAAAAAATATAAAAAGAAAAAGAAGTTGAGTGTTGGCAAAAAGTGATGTAATTTGTGGCATACCTGTAGTCAGGTTTGTGTAATCGATTTAGTTGTGAACACTGGTAATATGTATAACTTAGAGAACAAAAATAGCAAAAACTGAAGAACAAAATGATGTGCACAGAGAATATACTGCAGTAACTATAAATTAAGGTTAGAAGTGTTTTAATGTTGATATAAATTTGTGCTTGAGAATTATGCACAAGAGGATAACTGCTTTTATGAGTGAGCATATAATAAGTCAAAAAGATTATTAATAATTAACGAAATGTTTGAAGTAAAAAAATATACATTTAATGTTGAAATTCGAGATAATAATGTAGCTATAACTTATTAGAAGTGTTTAAATTGGCATTAACTGGTCTATAACAGTTTGTCCAATTATATTGAATATCATTAGACCATGTTGTGGTACGATGTTACTGGAAAACGAAGAAAAAATTATATAAGCTATGAGAAACAATATATAATTGTAAATGTAAAGTTGTGTAATTTGATTCTTAATAAGCATGCATATATGCCGTTGGATATGAAGAATTAAAAAGCATATAGAGCTGTGCACTTAGGTGAGGTAAGAGTTTAGATGAGGGAATCCATGCTGATAATTTGTTGAGGAAAACAAAACTTTCTAATGTAAAAATGGGAAAAAAGATGTTCAAATATGGATCAGATAGAGCTGATTAGGTGTCTCTGTGTAACACAGAGATACTACTTGCTCAGTTATTTCAGCTTTGATCATTTGGATAAATAATCACTTCCATATTTTCCCTTCGATGAGATGATCTTTTTGTTTTCCAATGTTATCTAGGAAGAAACTCATTGGATCATGCAATAACAAATAGAAAAACTATTTAAAAGAATAACAAGGATAATTTTTGCAGTACATCGAAAATAAAAACTTGTTTGAATAAAAAGCCTAAGATGAAAGGGTCATATTACGTACCTGAAGTACGAATGGTTTTAAAGGCTGTACATTGAAGCTGCAAAAAACAAAAAGGAAACCAAATTGTAAGCGTAGACAGAAAACCAAAATTTGAAAAATTGATCTATGCAGACACCAAATGTTTCAAAAGGTTATCAAAACGGAACAAAATTGGTTAATTTGTTATGTAAGCAAAGCAAAGAAAGGAGTTGGATTGAAGCTGATTTAAGGCTTTTTCTGATATGGAATAAATGCTATTTTCTATGTTATATTCACACTAAGTGGTCGGAAAGTTCTGAAATCAGCCAAAGAAAATTAGGATCCTCGTCGGAAAAACCCACCGAGGTGCGCTTATGGAACTCCTCGCCATTTAATCTGCATTACCAGAACAAAATGTAAATTCACCAGTTAAACGTGTGTATTAATTTCATAATGTAGTTTATTACAAAGATTAAGAAGCAAAAACCATAGCAGGAGTGGCAGCTTCGAAAAGGGCAATGAGGGATGCACAGCTACTTGGCCAACCTATGTGGCTAGGGCTTCAAACACTAAAACCCCGTACAATGCACATGAAAGTAACCACCGCCGGGTAAGCAAACATGAGTTACTTTCATCAAAAATTAAAACTAAAAGCAAAAACTTCAAACAGGCAAAATCTGACAACCAGCATATCAATCCAAAATAAAAACTTCCACCACCAACAGCACAAACAAATTTAAAACCACAATTAAAACTAATGTTGACTGTCCTCCTCTCCATGTTTGTGTTCCCTCTGCCGGAGAAAAGCGACGAAGACAAAGCTTTCCAAAATTCCAACGAATCCTCTCATTTCTTCCCAAAATTATAAATCCATTTTAATCCAACAATTATCAATGCATTTCAAAATTGGGAAAAAAGCAGGACATAAAACTTACTCGGAATATAAGAGCAGCGTCACAGGTGCTAGCAAATGTCAGATTTATTAACAGAGCAACCAAAATACAAAATGCTCTTTTAGCTGGGAAAGGCCTAATAGAGCACCACAACTGAAAGAAAAACGAAATCGTTAGGTTTTTTTTCTTCTTCCAAATAAGCAAAAATCCAAAATAAAAATTGAAGACAACCATATAAATACACCTTAGTTGAATAACGTCTGTTTCGCAGCGATCTGATGACGGACTGTGACCAAAACGGGTTAGAAATCGGCCAAAAGTTTAGCCACAACCCAGAAATCTTAGATAGAAAAAAAAAAAAGAATAACACTCTGAATTCTCTTGACACCCCCCCCCTGCGCGCGCGCGCGCTGCACTGTGAACGCAATTTTGGAAACCACTTTTTGTGGGGAAGAAGACTCTCGAAGTCGAGAGAATAAGGATGGCGGACGAGCGGACAACACGGGCAAAAACGTCTTTTCGGCGTACGAAGTAGGCCAGACAAAGGAAAACAAACGATTGATCCAGGGACAGTTCCGCCCTTTTACTATTGTTGAACAATGCTAAAACTTAACTGAGTTTTAGTATATATAATATAATATGACTTCACTGATGGTGATGGGCCCCGCATGAGAAAGGTGGACTCAAAACAACTTGAGGCCCATGAAAGTCATTGCTAAGTTTTAGCTCTTGGAAAATATGGGCATAGCGGGACCATTATGGGGAAAATGATTTATTTATATTTTTGGAAGTACTCACCAATTCATTAGTCGAGTTCACCAAATTGATAGGAATAAATGTCGAGTTGCAACTTATTTATTATTTTTCTTTTTATAATAATAAAAAATAATATCCTCGTCTTCCCATTTTTGCCAAAAAAATCTGAAAAAAAAACAATTGACCATTTAGAAAGCGACAACGAAGGTGAAATTACTTTTTCGATGTTTTGAACTCCTGTTGTCTTTTCGCACACATCAATATTATATACATTAATAACTACACATTACGCAATTAATACAATAAAAAAAATCAAACTTATTTTCCAATTTTATTCCAAAGTGATTAGTGATTCTGTTTGGACCTAAATTACACCATCAACTCAAATAATCGAGGCCGTTGGATGATTAGAGATTTTTCTTAACATTACTATGTTTTTTTTTTATCATATTAATTATCTTGAAAATATCCTTAAAGTGTACAGAGTTGTGATACGCGTAAAGCTCTATGCAGAATAGGTTATGTGAAATGCCGTGTATCATTAGAGTCCTATCTTGCATGCAGAACCATGTGGAACAATACCACAAGGATGCAATTAATATTGGATGATCAACATGTGGATATGCCTTTTGGATAGTCAAAATGAGGTGATGTGATTGGATCAAGGTGGTTTTGCAGATATAATGCAAAACTATCAGCCATAGTATTTTAATTATCATGCATGCATGGTTGCACTTGGACCAATATAGTGGAGAAAGAGAAGTTTCGGTTGGAATAGGATGCATTCATTTGGTCAGGCCACGTATGTGGGAAGATATATTTAATCTTTTCAAGGAAAATTAAGAGATAGCCTTTATCATATGTTGGAGATATTAGACAGCTAAGGTGATGGGACACAAGTTTGAGTCAAGTGATGTTCTACAAAGTTAGAGCGACAATTAAACAATACAAAGCTATCAAACCGTTAAGCAAAAGACAACTACTATAAATACAGAGTTGCAGACAACATTTGAGAGCCTCTCCAATTCAACACACAAATTGCCCTGTGCAAACCTCTCAAACATCTTGAGATTTTTTATTTTCTTTTTCCGCCAACACACCTTCAGTTTAGATAAACAGCACTGTGAAAGCAACCGGTGAACATCTTTAGTTTAGATAAACAACACTGTTGTTGTAGAATCAACCAACCGAGAAGCACCTTCAGTTTGGATAAACAGCACTGCGTTGAGGCTGACTGGTTACTTATGCAAGTCTCGATCGAGAAGGGTTTTCGAATCCTTATTGGCAGAGGTTATCTTATTAGCCTTCTTAGCGAAGTAAAGTGTTACAAGTTACTACATTCGGCACATTGAACGCCGAGTGATTTTATGATTAGATACTCACAAGTGAGTTTCAGAGTTCGACATTCTAACGGCCGAACCACATTTACCATCAAGACATACATCTCTTTTGAGTACCTGTGTCCGTATAGTTTGGAGCCGGTTCGACATGCTTATACTCTTACGAATATAATCAATGTGGCCAAACCTGGCGTCGACGATTCGTGAACTTCACAGAACTAGCAGCTTTGTCTTCAGGCTCGAGAACCCGAAGGCCAAGACGTGTTACTTCCTTGATCGTAGTTGCAAGATCAAGAAGTCAGTAGCGCATTTAACGCAACATTAACAAATTTTACTCCTCGGTCGAGCTCGGCTGACGAGTTGGCACGCCTCGCATCAACCGAATGACGTAGTTAGCTCATTAGTTACTCGGCCTGCGCGCCACATAAACTTTGTAGTTTTTAGGGTCAACATTTTGGCACGCCCAGTGGGACCCAGTGCTAAAACTACGATGTTCATATGATATATCAAGATTCTAATTTGGCTCAACGTAGCCGATTGTACGAGCTCCTAGAGCAATTGAAAAAACACAATGAGGAACGAAAAAGATCTTTGCAAGTGGAAAAATTCTTCGTGGCCATAGAGAGATGCAAAAGTCATTCGCTTACATATTGAGAATAAGAGCTCTTGTTACCCTGCAAGAGCAATGGTTAAATGAAGACAGGGCTTGATTTAATGCCTGGCTAGATGGAGAATATTTTCCTTACGTTTTCAACTACAAATCGATTCCATTTGAGGAATGGTTGGTTGAAAAGATCGGGGGGCAATTTTCCGCTCCGGCCGTAATCAGACATTGGCTTAAGAAAATTGTTAATTTGGCCAAAAAACAAAGGCCACCTATTTTTTCAGTTGAGACTAAAGTGTGGTAGGCCTAGAAGAAAATGTTCAAGCTTCTGAGCCAAAAATTGACTCAGAAAATAATTCGTCAAAGGAGTGTTCCAATGACGAACAAGACCAATACACGACTTTAGACCATAAAACCACATCAATTGATATGGTAATTGGAGACATGGTTTTAGACGAGGAAACTACGCCAATCGATATGATTATTGGTGATAAAGTCGATATGGAGAAATCCCGTTCGGCTAAGTTGTTCGAGTTGAAAGCCAAAATTGGTGAAGAAATTATGCCTGGGGGGCATAATAATTGTTCAACACATTCGACGGCCGAAAATGAAAAGTATTTCATCAAGTTAAAAATATTTGGAGAAAATTCTTTTTTCGATCTAAGATCTTATTTTGGAATAAAGTATTGTTGGCCTCTCCTCTTTATTAGTTTAGCCACTTTCGTTTTCTTTTATTAAGAAAAGGAATAAATTATTTTCTTAATCATCTGGCTAATTAAGCCGATGCATAAGAAAATAAGGGGGCAATGCCTTGTACACAAACTATATATATTTATATATATAAAAAATAAAAATAAAAATAAAACTTTCGGCTGTCTAAGTCGAGTCTGAAAGTTAGGAAGATGCTATGGTGGCCATATAGGTGTTGGTAGATTCAAGGTCTAGTATTGCTGAGCTCGATGAGATTGGTTTTGGCTCTGGTTAGTAAAAAGGAAAACAAAAGTGGTTTTACCATCCAGCTTGACAGTGATTGGTACAGGTAGGTCGGTTGCTAATGTTGCAGGCCCTTGGATGCGTGCATGCAAAGTTTTTCCTGGTGATGGCAGACTTCTTCTTCAACAAAAGTGGTTTTACTATTTTCTTTTGGTAGAAGTGAAAAAGGGAAAAAGAAGGATATTTAATTAGATATAAGCTTCAACCTATGGACATGTTGTAGTGTGAGGAATCATGATTTGCTTCCAAGTTGTCAGAATCCATTAGAAAGACGAAAGTTTTTTGGCCGAGCTTGGCCAACACGTCGAGGTATGTATGTATATATATATATACACACACACACACACACACACAAAAGTAGGCCGAGCTGCCAAGAAAGATTTTTCTCGACCTCGACTTGCCTTTCATGGAGGATCTACCGCGGCTTGACGTGACCAATTTTTACTACACGCTGTAGGACATATTGTTCGATGAGGTCTAGAAAAAACCGAGCTTGATTGTTTATCACTTCTCTTCGACCATGGGTTGTTCTTTGGTCAAAAGAAGCCATGACCATGTTTTCCTGACAAGTTACTAAGAATCAAGTGCACAACAATAGGTTCTTATCGGCCTGATAAGTAGACGACCGAAGTACTTCTGATTGGCTGGACGGTCGAAGTACTCTTGATTGGTTGGAGAGACTTAATTTCCTTAACCATTTGGCTTGTAAGCTGAAGTTCAAGGAAACTAGGGGGCAATGTTTGGACCCAAAATTACACCATCGGCTCAAATAATCGAGGGCGTCGGATGATTAGAGATTTTTCTTAACATTACTATTGTTTTTTTTTTATCATAGTAATTATCTTGAAAATATCCTTAAAGTGTACAGAGTTGTGATACGCGTAAAGCTCCATGCAGAAGAGGTTATGTGAAATGCCGTGTAGCATTAGAGTCCTATCTTACATGCAGAACCACATGGAACAATACCACAAGGATGCAATTAATATTGGATGGTCAACATGTGGATATACCTTTTGGATTAGTCAAAATGAGGTGATGTGATAGGATCATGGTGGTTTTGCAGATAATGCAAAACTATCAACCATGGTATTTTAATTATCATGCATGCATGGTTGCACTTGGACCAATATAGTGGAGAAAGAGAAGTTTCAGTTGGAATATGATACATTCATTTAGTCAGGCCACGTGTGTGGGAAGATATATTTAATCTTTTCAAGGAAAATTAAGAGATAGCCTTTATCATATCTTGGAGATATTGGACAGCTAAGGTGATGGGACACAAGTTTGAGTCAAGTGATGTTTTACAAAGTTAGAGCGACATTTGGACTCTATAAAACTATCAAGCTGTGCCAAGCAAAAGACAGCTACTATAAATACAGAGTTACAAACAACATTTGAAAGCCTCTCCAATTCAACACACAAATTGCCCTGTGCAAACCTCTCAAACATCTTGAGATTTTTTATTTTCTTTTTCCACCAACACACCTTCAGTTTGGATAAACAACATTGTTGCCGTAGAAGCAACCGACCGAGGAGCACCTTCAGTTTGGATAAACAGCACTGCGTCGAGGCTGACTGGGTTACCTATTCAAGTCCCGGTCGAGAAGGGTTTCCGAATCCTTATTAGCAGAAGTCATCTTATTAGCCTTCTTGGCGAAGTAAGGTGTTACAAGTTACTACATTCGGCACATTG